TAGTGTTATAATTAATCTTATTATAATTAGTATTGTTGTAGCCATTAGCTTATTGATAATTGGGGTATAGCTACTTAAACTGTCGTAATAAAGTAATTAATTAGCTTAGTTAAGTTAATTATTATTCATTCGCCTAGTTTTGTAATAGTTAGTTAATTTTGACTTTTTGGACATTGATTCGCACCCTCTTGCGTGAGGGGTCAAATGTTGTAATAAGTATATGTCTTCCAACCCCACGTCTTTCTCCCTTTTATTTAATCGCTTACGATGGTTAGTTTAGAGCACGTTTCATTAGCATTCTCATGTTTTACATCCATTCGTCTTGCATGCATTTAGGTTCGGCTCATTATATTAACCAAATGTTTAAATTCATTGCTTGAATACGTGCCTTATCGCATGTCTTGAATGAAATCATATGCCATGTTCATAGCCGAGCCTATAAAATACATAATGTGTGTGTTGCATTATCCATAATCGCATAAAATTAGGAACATGCATACTTTTCTAATTATTTTGTTTTGTTTTGGCTCAGAGTACTAGGTGAGTTTTTTTGTTTTAGCATCTTACATTGAGTGTTTGTGATGCTATGTTCAAAGCATGAATTCCATGAGGCTAAGTGATTAATTGATATAACTGCTTAAATGCCTGTGGATGAAAGTTAATTGCTTGAATTGGGTCCATTCTAAGCCCACCTTTTTCAAGTGGCAGATTCACAAAACAATTCCACAACAAAACATGAGATCAAATGTTCCAATTCTTGTAAATTAGTCTATATTTGTGTGAGCGTCACATAGTAAAAATAACTAATAATCGGAACAAGAGCATATAATGTAAATAAGAAACACATCATGATTAGTACCCAGGACCAAACTCACAGGTGAGTGGGGTGCTCAAGTAATGACCTTCCACTCTCATATCTAAGTTTCCGAGCCGAGACACTTTGGTGATGACGGACTAATAGCCCTTGGCACGAGTCACGGGTTTTCTAAATTTCTCAAAAATATTTAGGTGACGACTCTGAAATCTGGCAAAACAATCAATTTTTGGCATTTTTTATTCAAAATCAATTTTCCAAAAGAATTGTCGAATTTGAACTCATTTGTGTTTATTTATTTCACATTGCACTTGTGCAATCAGATTTAGAACCATGGGAGTCCGAACTGTAGGGCTGTTTTATGTTTCCAAGTAGAATTTCTTATTCAGAACTTACTTAAACAGGTGTTGCTGATGGTTAGGCTGAAGTTGCTCAACTCTGTTGACAATAATTGGAAACAAAATTGTGATTAGAAACGGTAAAAGGTTACCAAGCTAACTCGAAGGGATCCAAAACAAAGGGGATAGGCTAAAAGAGAGAGAAATTCGAAAGGGACATAAAATGAAGTATGCGGAGAATGAACACTTGGAGCAAGGAGCTTCCTAGAAGGTGTCTTGGATGGTCTTAGCCTCCGGCTATTGTTTCACACTTACATTCTTAAGGTAGGAATACTGTAGGTGGTTGTGATTGAAGGAAACCTTGTGAAGATAGTTTTGGGTCTCACTGCAATTATCGACTCTTACAATAATTTGAAAATGTATTGAGTAAACCATTTCAAATGCAATTTTGTATGTGTTCATTGTATCAAGATTGGAACAATGCAATTGAGGTCTGTTTGCTTATTCCTCTCTCTCTGAATGCCGAAAGTTTTGTGGGTTCTTGTTGATCAATTACATAGATATTCCCCCCCAAAATCATATATTATATTAAAAAATAAATATTAAAAATTGTGGTAGTTTAATTGACACAAATTACTTTGGTATTTGTGGGATACATCTTAAGTTCAAACTTGGTAAATGTACTTTTCTTCTTAAATATAGTATTTAAAAAAAATACTAAATAAGTTATACGCACTTGGGGTTGTTTGGGGTGTCTTAAATAAGTGCAATTTTTGACTTTTTGAACTAAAAAGTTGAGGAAAAAAAGATGATTGTTTGGGATAACTTTTTGACTTTTTACGAAAAAATATGTATTAAAAAACTGTATAAATTAGTGTATTGGATAAGATTGTGATGGAATAGGCTGTACGGTGAGGGGCATCGTATGTAGAGTAGGGGGAGATGGTTCCCTACTTTTCGGGCAGTGAATTGAAGGTGTTGTTCGGCCCGTGAGGGCCTACCACGGGTCCCGTTTTGCTAATCAAAACCGTTGGATGTGTAGAACTCGTCGAGTACTATACACTTATAAAACATTACGTTGATCGGATATCGATAGCTATCTGATCGGATTAGTTTTTTTTCAACCGTTAACTATAACACCATCCATTTTATAAATTTTAACTGGTTTGATCATATAGTTACCGATATCCGATCAATGTAATTTTTTACAAGCATATAGTACTCGACGAGTTCTACACATTCAACGGTCCAGATTATTAAAACGGGACCCGTGATAGCCCCCATGTGCTGAATAGCACAGTATTATTTGTGCACCTAAATCAATGCAATTTTTTTCAAAAACTCAGCTACGCCTGTGGGACGTCAGAGCTGTTTGAAAATTAATTTTGTGTAAAATTAAATTTTTTATATTTTTTTTGGTGAATAGTGATAACTTTTTAACTTTTTGAGTAACTTTTTAGTTTTTTGACTTTTTTTAATTACCCCAAACCAGGCCTAATATTTACATATGTAATACTAGTGGTAGGTGCAAATAAAATGTGTTTGAAATTTTATATTTATATTTTTAGATAATTTGGTGATTAGAAGAAAAAAAAATTAATCAACAATTTTGAACGTTTTGATAAATGAAAAAAATATTGTAATTGCTAAATAAGAAAGGCATTATTGGAATATCTATCTGTCTATTTATGCTATCTATAAAGTGAACACCCCTAATGTTGTTCTAAAGTCTTGTCTTCTTATGTTGTCATGTGTCAACTTTTCTATTTAAAATTTAGACTCTTATTATTTAGGTGACAAACAACCTATGGCAAAGGTTTCAGGACACCAATTGAAATATTTGTTTAATATAATAATATAGATGATAAATATTCATACCAATTGACTTATACACTCTATATAATAAAATATATATAATAATGGGGTTGTTTGGTAAAACTTTTTTTCAGCTTAAATAAACTTTGGGCTTAAATTAAGTTATGTTGGTGTGTTTGGTACAACTTAAAGACATAGATTATTGCTTAATTTAAGCCATTTTTTGCTTAAATCTTTAAGTTGCTCCAAGGGTGCTTATAAATTCAGCTTAAGCGCGCAGCTGATCCCTCTGGGGGCAAAATGACTTAAATGTCCTTCCCAATTGATGTTAATTACAAGTATGTCATGTATATAAACCAAGAACACTCATTTTTTCTTTTTCATACAAACGGGAGAGGCGATTTCCGGCGAATAGCTCTGTCTCTCTCTTTCTCCCTCTCTCTCTCTCTTCCCGTTGTTCTCCGATCGCTCTCCATCGCGATTTGAACCATCGCTATCTGAACCATCACGATCGACAGAGTGAACCCTAGCTCTCTCTCCCTCTTTGCGATTGATGCTGGCGGTGAGATAAGAAGGAGATCTGAACCATCGCAATCGACAGGGTGAACTCTAGTTCTCTCTTCCTCTTTGCAGTCGATGCCGGCGGTGAGATGTGAAGGAGGAGGAGGATGAGGAGAAGAAGGGGCTGCCGGCGGGATAAAAAGTTGATTTGAACCATCACGATCTGAACCCTAGCTCTCTTTCTTTCTGTGGATCAATCTGAAACCCTAGCGCCGGTTCATCCCGCCGGAGCTAGGGTTTTCATTTTTTTTTGGAGGTTTTTCAGTGTTTTTTTAATAAAAAAATCAGAATAATTAATGAATAAAAAACAATTTAATTGATGCTCATTAAACTAATTTAATTTAATAAAAATAATTTAATTGATGCTTATTAATGAAACTATTAATAATTTTAATGAAACTATTAATTTTAATTGATGCTTATTAATGAAATAATTTTTTAATGAAACTATTAACTTTAATTGATGCTTATCAATGAAATAATTTTTTAATCAAACTATTAATTTTAATTGATGCTTATTAATGAAATAATTTTTTACAGCTTATGAAATAATTTTAATTGATGCTTATTAAACTAATTAAACTATTAATTTTTTACAGCTTATTAAACTATTAATGAAAAAAATTAATAATTTTACTATTAATTGATGCTTATTAAACTATTAATCGCCACTAATTGCATTAACTAATAATTTAAAATGATATTTTATTAATGAAATAATTTAAAATGAAATGATAATTTTTTTAATACTAATTCCATTAACTTTTGTTAATGAAATAATTTTTTTAAAATTAAAACTGAAAAAATGACAAAATAATCATTTTTATATCGTATAAGGGTAAAAAGGACAATTACATAGTAAAAAGTTATTTTACAGCTTATCAACCAAACACTACTTTGCAGCTTAAATTCATAATCTCACAGCTGTACCAAACAGGTTAATAACTTATATTCACAGCTATAAGCCATAATCGGTTAAATTATAATCTATAATCACATTCTCATAATTCTACCAAATAGGACCAATGATTCAATCAGGCCAAACAAGATCGACTTTAATGATGACTATTCTTAAACTCAACCCAATTAATAAATTGATCTAGTCCGCGGGCTCATTTAGGGTAAGATTTTTTTGACTAAAATAGTCACAAAAAAAAAAAATCAAAATATCAAATCGCATTACTCTCTATTTTTATATATAATATATATTTTTTTTGTAAAAAGTAAAAAAACTAACTAAAATAATCAATTCTTATACTAGCCCTGAATCTTGCTATATTGGGCTAAAATATGAAGCCCAAGTTCCTAAAAAAAATAACTGGATTGATTGGGCTGGTGTCCATCCTTACTTTACACCCGATTTTGTAGCGGCCAAACCCGCGGATTACCGGGTGAAACTGACATTAGTGTGAACCCGTGGTCAATCTCAACCGTTGAATAGAGTCCAGTAGAGCCGTCAGATCTAGGGCAAAAGAGGCTCAAGTAGGGTTTTAAGTTTCGGCCTCCCTCGACAGAGACGCAGAAGAGAGAGAGAGAGAGAGATCTCCCGAAGATGGTGCAGCGTCTCACGTACCGCAAGCGCCATAGCTATGCCACCAAGTCCAACCAGCACCGGATCGTCAAAACCCCTGGTATATATATATATATATATATACATACGCACAACTCTCATTTTCTCTATGATCTCTCTGTTCTTGTTTCCTTTAAAACCCTAGCTCCAACTATAACCTCTTGTTTCATCGACATGTACATTTTCTTTGATCTATTCGTTTTTCGATGCTAAAACTATACATGTTTTTTAGTCTTTGTTCGCACACTCGGAAGAAGAAAAAAAAACCCCAAAAAATATCTGGAATTTGAATTAATAGTGTAGATTTAAACTTGGTGTGTTTTGAATCTGATCCACACATTTCAAAATTTTGGCATTGTTGTTTTTAACATATTGGCAAAAACTCTCATGGATTCAAAATTTGGGCACATTTTTCTGATTTTTTTTCCTGGGTTTGCTTTTGTTTGCGACACAAATGGAAAAAACTCTATTAGAATGTGTGTGTGTGTGTGTGTGTAGTTGTTTATTTATGTTTTGTAAGTGGTTCGTATCGCTTATTTGTTGGAATTCACTGAAACATAGGTGGAAAGTTGGTGTACCAGAGTACTAAGAAGAGAGCAAGTGGCCCTAAATGCCCTGTAACTGGAAAGAGAATCCAAGGGGTATGTCATTTTGTTTCCATCATATCTTTTGTGGAAATTATGTATTTGGTCTAATTGTGTAAATATGCCTTGCTGGGAAGGTCATTTCTGCTTAACCTAGAAGGGAAAAGAAAAAAAATGATTACGCAAGTTAGGCGAGGGGAAAAGAAAATATTGTGATTTCTTTCCCTCTTGTTTGGATAAATAGGAGAGAAAATTAAATAAAAGATATTGATTTCTCACCTATTTTGTTTGGTTGAGTTATATAAAAGAAACCAAATTAACCTTTTTGAAGTGTTAAGTCTTTTTATTTGTTTGTATCTAAAAGGTGGTTTTGGTATTATAACAATAGTTTTTAGTTGGTTTCTTTTCTGTCCCAATTCAAAATATGGGTTATGAGAGAGATGAGTTTCTCTACATTTCTCTCGTTGCTTATCCAAACAAGTGATATGGACCAACAGAAATGTTTTTCTCTTCGTTTCTTCCCACATCAGCCAATCTAAACAGGCTGTTAAAAGTTTGTTGATTTATCTTTCTTAACCATTCCCCAGTCAGAGATGCTTATTCTATGTTGTATTGCAAGCAATGCGTCAATAATTTTGATACAACCATGTAGCACTGGTGCATATGTAGAATGTTCTTGCGAGGACTTGTAGTTACTGTGGATTTATTTGTCTGTCTTTTCTAATTTTCAATTCTGCTCTGTCCACTACATTTGTTGCTATATGAAGCACGACAAATGATCTTTTTAAATTTTCAATTCTGATCTGTCCACTGCATTTGTTGCTTTATGAAGCACGGCAAATGATATGGGTGATATATAAAACCTGAAAATGATAAGGGTACAGCCATTTTACATTTGTAAAACAATTTGTGCTTTATTTTATTATGCATAGCTCAAAGAAAGGTAGGAAAATTTTGTTAAAAAAAAATACATAAGTGTAACCTAGCCCAAACTTACTTTTTTGGTTGTAGTTTTTTTTTTTTTTGAGAATATGTTGGAAGAGGGATGTTAAATTTTCGTATTTTTTCTGGGGAATTATTTGCATGGAGAGGTTGGAGACGATGACCATACAATCAAAGTAGGTTGACTTAAGTGGATGGGTGCTTTTGACATTATAACTATCATAAGATCAGCGACACTTCACGAGTTAGAATGTTGGTCAACTAAAAAATAATACATTAGTTTAATGAGTGTAACTATTGAGATGAGGATGCTGAGTTAGATGTGTGGTTAAGACTAGAAGTGAACACATTTGCAAAGTGGTAGCAATAATACCTGTTGAAAGTAAGTTTAGAGAGCAAAATGATTTTTTTAGGTACAACAAAGACCTTGATATGATCGTTACCCTAATTGATTGGGATTCAAGGCTTTGGTTGGCTTCTTGATGCTTAACCAGGTTGTTTTCTTTTGCTGCTTAGGCTATATGAATGTCATGTACTCTCAGTTCACTGTAACTGCATTTGGTACTAATTTTATGTTGGCTTTATCATCAGATTCCTCATTTGAGACCTGCTGAGTACAAGAGATCCAGACTATCTAGGAACAGGAGGACTGTGAACCGTGCCTATGGTGGCGTACTATCTGGAGGTGCTGTCAGAGAGAGGTTTGTTCTTGTCAAATCTTCACTACTTGAGCTTCAATCATTTGAAAAACATTCAAAACATACATAAATACCAGACGGTGCCTCTTTCTGTAGTGCTGGTGGAGATGGCCATGTTATTTTGCTCACACCATTTAAATGAAAGGGTTGTGACTTCTATTGGTTTTGTAGGATAATCCGAGCCTTTTTGGTGGAAGAGCAAAAGATTGTGAAGAAGGTTTTGAAGATTCAGAAGGCAAAAGAAAAGCAGGCATCAAAGAGCTAAGATGATGACACATTTATAAAATACTTCAGTTTTTAATGTGCTCGAAAGAAATTTTGACTTAAACAGATATGATTATAAGTTGTGCACTGTATTAATTTGAATGAGCATTTTTCATAATTGGTATTTGATTTCTCATTTCAACACATTGGGATTGGGGGTTTTGCTTATATTGGCAATAATATTCCAATGTCAGTCGGGTGTTACTATTTCAATGCTCATTTTTAGCTATCATATGATTTTCTGGTTGATATGGAATTCTTTTGATATTGAGCAGATATGGTCAACCCATTATTTTTCACGGCCACATAATGTTTTCATTGGTGGTTTGATAGTTTCATTTCATGGGATCAGTTGAACTTTGAAAGCAAGAGATGCAACTGTCTTCTCAATGATTGGGTTCGTGTTGAGATTGTTAAGTTATTATTCACTTGGGGTATGGAGAAGCATAGAAACAAAGGAAAGTGTTCTAGGCGCAAGGCTATGGCTGTAACAAACATGTGTCCTTCTCTCCATATCTTCTAAAGCAACAATGGAGGATGATAGAAAAGGGTAGTAAGAATGGTGAATGCAAAGAAACCAGAGTTGAAAGGGAAAGAAAAATTAATCCCAAAGGATACGCCTTGTGAATGGCATTTGAAGGGTGATGGTGTTTTCAATATGTTCACCAATATGTTTGGAAGTCTAGAATTTTGCAATCAAGACTTAGGCCTTGCTTGTCAATTATAAATTTCAATCAAAAAGTTAAAAAATTATTATAAGTTGTTACATTATTTTCTTTATTTTCAAACGAGACTTTAACAGTTGGATGTTCGTTGAGCGTGACAGGTGAAGAGTGGAAGATCATAATCCTCAATCACGAGAGGAAAACAAGTAGTTTGCTTATGAATAAGGTTTTGAAAGCGGTTGCGGTCACTGTAACGGTGGTGGTGGCGCAGTTGCGGTTGCGGAATGTAAAGGTCGTAGTGTAACGATTGCGATAATCGGAACCGTGATTTTTTTTTTTTCTATACAATTTGAAAAAAACTTACCGATATGCATATTTTTTTTTCTATGATCATATTTATTGGGTTTTAAATAAATATTGATAAATTTTGAAGTATGATTCAATATATTTTATATTTTTAAATCACTATAAACTGAGTTTTTTATATTTTATTTTAATAATTAATGACTGTATATTATACAAAAAATCAATCACTAAATTATATATAAGATAAACAATGACAAAAGTAAAAGAATAAATAAAAGTCTAAATATATATATATATATACATATTTTAACCAAGCTAAATAGAAAATGACCACACTTATTATTGTTATTATTATTATTATTAAGCAATATATAGATAGACACACCTAAATAAAATGGTTGAGTGATAGCAGCTGAATACAATAGCATAGGTCTTACAGTTTTAACAAATCAATAACATGTTCTTCATTTTCCATCTTCTCTCTCTCTTTCTCTCTCTCTCTCTCTATTTCTTGCTCCTCCATCTTCTCGTTTTATCTTCCCTCTTCCCTCTCTTTCTCTTCTTTCATTTTCAACTTTTTTTTTGTGTTTTTTTCAAAAGAAGTATAACAAGTCATTACGGCTGTTACGGCACCGTTACGACCACTACAGCCGACATATATGTAAATTTCAATCACACTGCAGAAGCGACCGTAATGGGTGGCGATAATTACAACAACCATTACGTAATAGCATTACGTAACAATTACGGCCGCTTTTTAAAACCTTACTGATTAAGTTAGTTATTTAGAGGCGAGTTAAGAGAGGATTGGGGCAATGTTTTCTATTCCTCAAAAGAAATTGATGCAAAAGCAACCACGTTAACTTGTATTTGTTTTTAAAACGTGGCAACAATTTCCAAAGATGTGATTCTCTCCCACCATATTCAGTGCTCTTTTGAGAAGTTGGTAAAAAGTCAACTTCTAACTTTTTATCAATTTTGGATCACATCACCTCTCACATAATTTACTCATAAAAAGACAAAATAAGTTAAAAAAATCAAAAAATTAACTTTTTACCAACTTCTCAAAACACCCCTCAATCCCTCACTACTGCTACTGCCATCCACTACCTCAAGCCCCCAGCCACAATAAGCCCCATCTATCATCACATTTAAGAAATTTGTGTCAAATATGTTTTTTTCTTTTTTTGGAGCAAAATATTGATAAGCCGTAAAAATACTAAATTAAACATAAAGAAATAAGAACATTTGTTTAATTGTGAAAAAATTGATTCTAAATTGTCGAATTCATGTTTTTTTGTGACAATCAAACGATACTTTTTAATCACATGCTTTTAAAATAATTTTTTTATTTATTTTAGAAACAGGTAAAATAATTTTTTATACACTTTTTTCTATATATGTAAAAAAAAAAAAGAGTAAAAAAAACCAAAAATTTCATTTTAAAGAAAAAGAAATATACATTTTTTTTATATAAATTTAAGGGTAAATTATACTGACACCCCCCTGAGGTTTATGTTTACAATTTTCTCCTCACCTTTTGGAAATTACATCTTCCCCCTGAGGTTTAAAGTTTCATTATAAATTCCCCCCTCAACAATTTAATTTTTTTAAATACCAATTTTGCCCTCACTAGGTAAATTACATTGACACCCCTCACGTTTTAGAAATTACAATCCCCTCCCTAAGGTTTAAAGTAACATTACCAATTGCTCCATCGGTTAGTATTAGTTGGAAAAAAAATTCATTGAAAAACAAATTAATTGGGAAAAAAAATAAATTGAAAAAAAAATTTGTTAGTAAAATTTTTTAATTTCTGTTTAAAAACCAACATAAACTCATTTTTTGAATTTACGTTTTTTCCTTAATTTTACAAACTGAGACAACTATTTATAAACTAAAAAAAAATATCAAACAAGTTTTTATGACAGTTTTTAAATTTTTGTAAATATAAATTGAAAAGTGAAAACGAAATGGTTACCAAACAGGTTTCAGATGGTAAAAATGTCGTAAAATTAACAAATAATTAAATAAGTTACCAACGTAGGAAATAACTTATTAAAAGATTCTTAGGCTATGAATTGTTTGATTTTTAGAATTTTTTTTAAAAAAAATTAAAAATTAATTTGGTTAAGAAATAAAAAATAAAAAATAAAAAATAATTATCATTTTTATATAATTTTTATCTTTCGAGTGGTTGGAAATAATTTTTTACAAATTAAATTGAAACAGCCATATGTATGTATATAACATGCCTAAAAGTTAAAATGATAATTATTTTTTACCCTTAAATGATAATTATTTTTTATTTTTTAACCAAATTAATTTTTAATTTTTAGAAAAAATTTCTAAAAATCAAACCATACCTAGCCTAAGAATCTTTTGATAAGTTATTTCTTACGTTGGTAACTTATGTAATTATTTGTTAATTTTATGACATTTTTACCATCTAAGACCTATTTGGTAACCATTTCATTTTCAATTTTCAATTTATATTTACAAAAATTTTAAAAAATGTCATAAAAACTTATTTGATAATTTTTTGGGTTTATAAATGGTTGTCTCAATTTGTAAATTTGAAAAAAAAAATAAATTCAAAAAATGAGTTTACGTTGGTTTTTAAACAAAAAATTTAAAATTTTACTAACAAATTTTTTTTTCAATTAATTTTTTTTTTGAATGAATTTTTTTTCCTACTAATACTAACTGAGGGGGCAATTGATAATGCTACTTTAAACCTTAGAGAGGGAATTGTAATTTTTAAAATGTGAGGGGTGTCAATGTAATTTACCCAATGAGGGCAAAATTGGTATTTTAAAAAATTAAATTGCTAAGGGAGAATCTGTAATGAAACTTTAAACCTTCGGGAGAAATGTAATTTTCAAAAAATGAGAGGAAGAACTATAATAAATATAATTTTTCGAGGGAAATGTAATTTTCAATAAATATAAATTTTCGGGAGAAATGTAATTTTCAAAAAATGAGGGGAAGAACTATAATAAATATAAATTTTCGGGGGTGTCAGTGTAATTTACCCTAAATTTGAAGAAATAAAAATATGTCAAGAATGGGATTCGAACCCATGCCCTTTCGGACCAGTACCTGAAACTGGCGCCTTAGACCAGCTCGGCCATCTTGACAATTGAACACAAGCGCACTAATAAATATATATATATATATATAAATGTATTAATTCAATTTTGAAATTTGAAAAAAAATACAATAATCCTGATAAATTACCCTAGAATTCTCAAACATTTTAAATAAGTAGACTTTTTGATTTTTTACGAAAAGATATGTAAAAAAATAGAAATGTGATGTGATCCAAAAATAATAAAAAGTGAACTTATATTGTATACCCCAAACAAAAGATCATTAATCGTATGAATAAAAAAAAGATTACCATTATCTCTTTTACATTAAAATACATATTTGACCTTATGTATTTTCGTATTTTCATATCATTTGTATTAATTTTGAATCTCTTTAAACTTCTTCGAATGGAAGTCCATATAATTATTGCCATGTTAGGGAAGTGTGATTTGAGTTTAAATAGTTAATAAGACAAAATATCACATCTAAATCTAAATCATAATCGTTTTACTTTTTATTTCACAATCATAAAATTAACTAAAAAAAAAAAGAGGAAGAATTACATCCTAGTGAGACAATAATTTTTTTATTTTTTTACACAAACATGGAGAGGTGCAACCCCAACAACATTAACTGACATCCTATCACAAAATCACTTACACTTCATATATTTTTATATTTTTTTTGTTCTTATTTTCATTGTGCTGTAATTTTCTCCCCCAAAAAAGGCAACTATCATATAAAACATATTTTTTTTAATCAGACTAAAATGATTAAAAAATTAAAAACTCAATTAAAATAGGTTATTTTCAAAGAGAGCCTTTGTCAAAACTGTAAAATTTATTACATATATTTTTTAAATTTCAAAAAGGTTAGTGTGATTTACCCTTCTTAATTTGTCGCAACCAATAGTTGCATGAGTATCAAACGTGGCGAAAAGCGAAAGTCCACGCGTGATATCATGGAGGCTTCCACACCGTATCCTCGCTCTCGTCGACCTTCCCGTTATTGCCGTTGCTTTCACTTTCCCGCGCTATTCAAAACCACTCTCCCTAACTTTCTCTTTCCTTTTCTTCATAAAACACCCAAATGGGTTCTCTCACCAATCCAAATCGCCACACTAAATTCTCAGATTTTGGCCGCAAACTCGTATCGTCCCTCGCTGTATCTGAAAACCCATCAATCTTTCATGACATACATGACCCAAAACTCTCTCCTTCGAACCCTGTTCTCTTCTTCAATCACTGGGTCAATTCAAGAAAGTGCTCTGTCAGAGACACCAAAGTCTTACATACCCACTTCCACAAGACTAATATCTTTCATTCCGATGTGTTTGTGGCAAATTCTTTGGTCGATTGTTACTGTAAATCTGCTCACATGGTTTATGCACTTAGATTGTTCGATCAAATTCCTCACCCAAATACAGTTTCTTGGAATATCATGATTTCAGGTTTCAATCAGAATTCAATGTTTGAGTATTCGTGGAGATTGTTTTGCAGGCTGCGTTCATTTGGTTTTGAACCCAATGAGTTCACTTATGGGAGTGTTATTTCGGCTTGTAATGCTTTGCAATCTCCTTTTTGTGGAAAACAAATTTACTCGCTTGCAGTGAAAAATGGGTTCTTTTCTAATGGTTATGTACGGGCTGGAATGATAGATTTGTTTGCAAAATACTGTAGCTTGGAGGATGCTTTTAAGGTGTTTTACGATGTTTTGTGTGAGAATGTGGTTTGTTGGAATGCTTTAATTTCCGGGGCTGTTAAGAATAAGGAGAACCAGATTGCTTTGGATCTTTTTTGCCAAATGTGTCATGGGTTTTTAATGCCAAATAGTTTTACATTTTCTAGTATTTTAATTGCTTGTGCTACACTTGAAGAGCTTGAGCTGGGTAAAGGGGTTCAAGGGTGGGTGATTAAGTGTGGTGCGGGAAGAGATGTTTTTGTGGGGACTGCTATTGTTGATTTGTATGCTAAATGTGGAGATATGCACGAGGCTGTAAAGGAATTTTTGCGGATGCCAGTCCGCAGTGTAGTTTCTTGGACTGCTATGATTTCTGGTTTTGTTCAGAAGGGTGATTCTATTTCTGCCCTCCAATTCTTCAAAGAAATGAGAAAAATGAGGCAGGAGATAAATAACTACACGGTTACTAGTGTGCTTACTGCTTGTGCTGACCCAACTATGGTTAAAGAGGCAATCCAGATCCATTGCTGGATTTTTAAAACTGGGTTTTACTCAGATTCAGCCGTAAAGGCTTCATTGATGCGTGTGTACTCAAAGATCGGAGAGATTGATTTGTCTGAGATGGTGTTTAAAGGGACGGAAGATTTAAAGCACTTAAATGTATGGGCTGTTATGATATCTGCTTTTGCTCAGCATGAGAATTCTGGAAAGGCAATTGATATGTTCCATAGAATGTTTCAAGAGGGTCTCAGACCAAATAAGTTTTGTAGCTCTAGTGTCTTAAGTATTGTAAATTCTTTATATTTGGGGAGACAAATCCACTGCTACACTGTTAAAGCTGGGTTGGTCTTTGATGTTTCTGTTGGGAGTTCACTTTTCACAATGTACTCCAAGTGTGGCAGTTTGGTGGAATCTTATGAAGTTTTTCAGCAAATTGTGAAGAAAGATAATGTTTCATGGGCCTCAATGATTGCCGGTTTCGCAGAGCATGGTCATGCAGATCAATCCTTGCAGTTGTTTCGAGAGATGCTGTTTGAGGAAATTGTGCCTGATGAAACGACTTTGACAGCGGTTTTGACTGCATGTTCTGCTATTCCATCTCTGAAAACTGGTAAGCTAGTGCATGGATATGCTCTTCGTGGAGGAGTTGGAAAGCAAATACTTGTTTGCGGTGCACTAGTGAATATGTACTCGAAATGTGGTGTTCTAGATATGGCAAGGAGGGTGTTTGACACGATGCCTATAAAGGATCAAGTCTCGTGCTCTTCCTTGGTTTCTGGGTATGCCCAAAATGAGCGCATTGAAGAGGCATTACTACTATTCCGTGAAATGCAGATGGCTGACTTTGAAGTTGACTCCTTCACATTATCATCTGTTCTTGGGGCTGTCTCTCTTTTAAATAGACTAGGCATTGGTACCCAATTGCATGCCCACATCATGAAAATGGGCTTAGAATCAGAAGTCTCTGTCGGTAGTTCACTCATTATGATGTATTCAAAATGTGGAAGCATTGATGATTGCCGAAAAGCATTCGGACAGATTAAGATTCCTGATCTGATCAGTTGGACAACAATGATCGTGAGCTATGCTCAACATGGAAAAGGTGCAGAGGCATTAAGAGTCTATGAATTGATGAGGGAATCGGGAATCAAACCCGATTCAGTGACTTTTATTGGTGTTCTATCTGCTTGTAGCCATAATGGTTTGGTTGAAGAAGGCTATTTTCATCTAAATTCAATGGTCAAAGACTATGGAATTGAGCCTGGTTACCGACATTATGCGTGTGTGGTTGATCTTCTTGGTCGGGCTGGAAGATTGAAGGAGGCTGAAAGTTTTATTAACAACATGCCCATCAAACCTGATGCTTTGGTTTGGGGAACGCTGCTCGCTGCTTGCAAAATGCATGGGGATATTGAGCTTGGAAGGCTAGTAGCTGAAAAGGTTTTTGAATTGGAGCCGTGTGATGCCGGAGCTTATGTTTCCTTGTCAAACATCTGGGCCGATGTGGGTCAGTGGGAAGAAGTCCTGAAGATCAGATACGCGATGAAAGGAACTGGGGTGAATAAGGATCCAGGATGGAGTTCTGTATGATTGTGATCGTATGGTAGCACACAGATTACTTAGTATGGGCGAGACACACCATAACTTTTTCATTTTTCTGATTGTGAAATTCAAATAGTAGCAGACATGTTTGCTTAAGACATGACTGTTAATTAACAGATTATTAACTGTTAAACCTGAAAAGTTGTGATTTTTCAAAAGTACCCCTATGAAATCTATAAATAACAATTTTGTCTAGCAAATTTTATGATCTCTCATTCTCTCCCCTATCTCTATTTTTATATTAGTTTTGCTCCTAAGAAATTTTGGAAATTCTCCAGGATTGCTATCTGTAGGATTTCAGATCCAGGAGATGGTTTGCTGAAACCTATTAGCAAACTCTGATCGATGAGGGCAAATATCGTCTTAAAGAAAGCTATTTATCACGCCACAAAGTGTAACGCCCCAACCCTTCACATGTCATCGATATTGTCTGCTTTGGGCCACGCCCGTACAGATTTGTTCTTCCCAATGAGTCACCCATCCCAAAACTATTCCAGCCTAAGCACGCTTAACTGGGGAGTTCTGTTAGGGATTTCACTACCTGAAAAAAGGCCTCGATGATATATAAAAGGATCCGGGTTTTTACTTTTATAGTCTAAGGTCCCGGTGTAATCCCAACATTCTCTTACTTTATATCTTGACTAAGTGTAGTAATTCTTTGCAGAATTACTGATCAACATCTCTCTGGAATGAGGGTGAAATCTCGCAGTCCGATTTGAAGGTGAACTGATCGAAAATTAATTGGATTAGAATACTCTGCACAAGTGAATAAGTTACACATTTAGGAAGGTGGAAATCAAGATTCATGTCTTGAAGATGGAGGAGATGATAGTGTGCGCACTCGACACTTACATCTTCAGCCTTGTGGAACCCTGCATCATTCTCAAATGTGTAAGTCCATAGGTATTTACGTTTTGGAATGCACATTTTGAAACCTGTTACATTTTCATTCCAAAACAATGAATTTAGCGATTTAAAGTGATCTCAAAAATATTTTCCAATATAAACCTTAAAGGTTTCCTTGTGAGAAAAAAAAAAAATAAAAAAATAAAAAAAATCAAACATAATGAACTAAGAAACTAAGTAGAGTGGATGTTTGGCATGAAAAAACATAACAAATGGAACATAATGCTTATAGAAATGCGTAGTTAGTTAAAACATGATTTATTTAGAAAAACAAAATATATTTCATTGGATGTTTAACTGTTGAAAGAAAATTGCTCTAGAAGTATCTTAGGTAGTGTTTGGTAGAGCTTTAGAATTATGATTTCAGAATAGAGTTGTATTTTGAGTTTGAGTTTTGGAATTATGATTTGAGTGTAGAAAATTTGTTTGGTTATGAGCTTTGAAAAGAGTTTGAAATGAATGATATGACATATGATATTTGATTAAAAAACTTACAACTCAAGTTTCTCGCTTCTATGCATAATCCATGCAGGTGTAGTGCGGAAGACATTCTTCTAGAAATGGATCAGATTCTACGACCTGATGGTGCAGTTATATTCCGTGACCAAGTGGACATGATAGTCAAGGTGAAAAGAATTGTGTTGGGTATGAGGTGGAACACCAAAATGGTGGATCATGAAGATGATCTTCTTGTCCCTGAGAAGGTATTGTTTGCAGTTAAATAGTACTGGGTTGCCGGGGGGAACAAATTCATGTTCTCACAGATTCTGACTCAAGTCCAAACGGTTTTTTTGGTCATTTATATTTTCTGGCTGTGGAAAATTATCGAATCAGAGGTAACAGCTTCTGCAGTTTTTTCTTGCTGAGTTATTGGCCCAGGTTGTTCTGTAGTAGTTATAGATTAAGCTAATTTGATAGTTTAATTATGATATTATGATCCTTTTTTAGTTTTTACTAATAATTTATTTTATTTTATATTTTTAACTTTTCTCTATCTCTCTTTTTTTCCCACGTTTTTTATTTCATGTTTCTGGGCTGGTAGTATGCCCCTGCCAAGTTCTGTAAACAGATTTTAATGTTATTTTGAATGTTATACAAACATAAATATTTGGGAAAATTCCGCATGTGCCATGCTTAGTGTTTAATCTTTTACACAGTTGGTTCCAAGCCCAGATAACGAGTAGGGTTGTGTTAGGTAGCCTAACAACTAACACGTAAAAATCCTTGTCAGATTCCTAATGAACATGAATCCTAGTATAAATATGCGCATATAGTCTTTGATAGACTAGAATGACGATAAAGGATTTATATAACCAATCTCACTTGAATGGGACACAAGGCTTAATTTGGTTGGTTGGTTGGTTGGTTATGGTTAAAGTTATAAAGTGTATGGTTAGATTTGAATTTATTGTGTTCTAGGCCACACCTAAGATAAATATGAGCCACACAATATTTTATGTATCGGTAGCAATCCTCTGTCAATAGTAGTATTTAGAAAATTTACCCAAAAACTTACCTAGAAATAGTGATATGCGGTGCAGATTCAACTTTATAGGATTACACTTGAAATAAGTCTCAACTGCATCAGGTATTTTCTTAGGTAATTTTTCTAGATGTGTTAGTATAATTAGTATAAGGGAATCACTATACTAGTTTTGAAAAGAAATGAGACATCCCATGTAGTGAGGCTATAAAATGTTGACAAATTGTCAATAATCCCCAAACATGTAGGCATCAATAAACCTTGCAACTTGGTAATCCCACAGGTAGTCTACCTATAGGACAATTCCCAAGCAGTCATTAGCATTGCAGACAAAAAAAAGCCTCTCAAATTAGTTATTCGTTCAACTTATTCAAGCACATGTCTCATCTTTAAGATATTTTTAAGTCTCTTTGCTATTCACTAGTCTCCTTTGTAGTTAGTTTTGTGGTTGTGATCTTCTCAACTCAAGGACGGACCCAGAATTTTAATTTCAAGAACATTAATATTAGGGGACAGACATGTATTAAATTTTTTAACAAAATTTTAGGGGACAAACCTGTATATAATTTAAAATAACAGTGATTTATAAGCAAAGAATTTATACTAAAACATAATATAGAATGATGTGTCAAGTTTTAATTTTATCACTTTAAATCAAAAGATCCATCAAGATGACTTATATTTTCAACAACGTCACTGTCACATCCACATCATTCTTGTCATAATTTCATATAAAAATTCTGTACACATTATTTTCTAAATTTTAAAATATTTTTAACTAATACTGCTATATAAGGTTTTTGAAACTTTTGAAGGGCTAAGCCACCCCATTGGGTCCATCCCTGTTCTCAACCTTTTACCCATCAATTTTCTTTTCTTTTCCTTTCCTTTTATTTGGTTTTCTCAGCTTTCTCATCATCCCACACGCCTTGTCATAGGCCTTATATCAGCTTTCTCCAAATAAAACGTCTTTCCTAGTTTGCCTCCTCTCTTTGCTTTCCTCCAACTTGTAATCACTACGTACAGTAGTGATCAACCTTTCAGACTCCATGGAAATCCAAGAAAACATCAACAATCTTCGAGTCGCCTCGTTTTCTTCTTACCTCAACTCCACAGAAGAGCACTTTGTGCTCAAGCTCACCAGAGGAATTCAAAATCCAATGGCAGAAAGTGAAATCTTTTCGCCCCCTAAAAGCCCTGGAAGGCCTAAGATTGAAGAGGGTGAAATTGATGTCTTTGGTGCTGACAAGTACTTCAACATGAGGATTGATCATGAGACTACTCCAAAAAAAGTACTAATTGACAACAGCATGATCCAGAGAAAAGACCGGTTTGATCAGAGACACGACACAAGGACTCCAAGTGTTATTAGCTCTGCATTGTTACCAAGTCTGCTGAAAAACCCAACTCGAAACAAGCAGAAGAAATCTGTTGGAAAAAGAATTTTTGCTTTTTTTTTTGGCTGTAATGGACCGTGTTTGGATAAAAAGTCAGTTCACGTCAGTGAGGCTCATAGGAAAGGGCTGAAAAAAGAATCCCTTCAGTCTGTGAATCCAGTTGTGTTTGATGGAACGAAGCAATCAGAATCAGGACTGAGAGGTGGAGAGAATTTCGCATTCCCAATTCTTGATTCAGGGGAGGAAAATTTGACAGTTAAAAAGCAGTTAGACTTAGAAGAAGAACCACGACACTCAATTGAGGTTTTTGGCTCACATTCAATCAGAAAGGGCAATATAGCGACGAACTTGGAGAGGAAACTGTCTGTGCTGACTTGGGATGCCATTCCAAAGGTCCAAAACATTCAATCAAATTTGGGAAGTGTCGGACCATGTGATGATATTCAGAGTGATACTAGTTCTGATCTATTCGAGATAGAGACTGTGTGTGGTGGTACTAGAGAACCAATGTTGACAATCCAAGCATCTGATTATGATGAAAAGAGTACCGACACAATGAGTAAAATGGCGAAAACCGAGAATGGGGTAAAAAGCCGGCCTGGCAGATTTTTGGGGTGCAAAACTCATAAATCAGTAAGTGTTGTTGAAACTGCATATAGGACTAGTGAGAAGGCAAATGATTCTCTGTCCCCAAATCTTCCTGTTCCCTTATCCCAAAACATCTACAGATGTTAGATATGTCTTGAAATTTCTGTATCTCGGGACTCTCAAATGATCCAATGACTCTAAACGTTTTGAGACAAAGGGACACAGAGATTTGGAGAGAATTTGTGGCTGTCACAAGGCCCGCTTGGAGGAAAGATTTTGAATTCTCTCCCATGCAACGTTCTTAAGAACAATCTGCCCCATAGCAATGTCCAGGGCATGATCAGTGTCTCAGTCCAAGCAACAGAGGCAGGTGCAGAGGAGCAAAGTGTTTGATAAACAATTTAAGATTCTTTGCACTCTGTTTCTTTGTCTGTCTGTTCATTTTCTTTTTCTTTCTTTTTTTCTTTTTTCTTTCTTTGTTTTCTCTTTTATGTACTTATTATTCTTTATATGAAAGACATTTCACTTGCTACTTTATCCTTGCTTTGTATTTCACTTTTGCTAAACTTATTTTTAATCATTTATAGAACAAAGCTTTATATCCATATCTTTTGTAATAGGCACACAAAAAAAATATATATAAAATTATTAGAGAGATAGAGATAGAGAAGAATCTAGAATTCTCTAGGCAATTTTGGACTCTATGGAGATCATTAACAATAACAACCCACAAATGACTCACCACATTGTTGATTAATTTTTAATCATACGTGTGTTTTGGACCATTTGGTAAGCATAATAAAGACAATCCAATTTTGCTTAAAGAGTCCAAATGCTTAACTATTCACTCCTAATGACACTTTCTAGCAGTTTTCGCATGTCAAGGTGAGGCAAAACCACATATGCAAAGGTTAGAATAAATCCAATTACTCAACAATCACACCGGTAAGTAAAAGAATCATTCCAAGATTTTAATTTTTTAAGAACAGATGAAATCTTTCGCTCAGACAACAATCCCAAAGAACAGGGATGAGAAGCCACCACGTGTTCAAAAAACAATGAATATAACACCTTCGGTGGGAATTCAAATGGAACTATCATCGATTGATGATTTTGTTATACTGAAATTTGTTTTACGAATGTTTTCTAGCGTGACAAAACGCACAACTGTCGTGCCTGGTGTACTTGTAGAAGTTGGGTGGCTACATTCAATTGGGTAACTGTCCTATTTTTTTCTGTTTTTGTTTTTGTTTTTCTTTCAGTCTCTCTGTCATAGACAGTATGTGGGTTGGAAATCTAGTAAGCAAAGCACCAATAAAAGCAAGAATTGAGGAAGTTTTTATCAAACAGTAAGTGAATTTGTTGGGTTATGACTAGTAACAGCAACATTTCCACACATGTTCTGGCTAAAAGGCAATTCATTACCCCTACCCCCTTTGGAGTACATGGCTGGGATTGAAGCACTTGTCTATTATTTTGAGTTTACTAAGTATGCAAGTTAACCACACCAAATTGCATTATTGAGTAGTGATGAAGACCTAGTAGCAGCCCAATACTTGGAGCGGTTTGGCTGTCAGATGGCAAAATAGTAATTATGGGTTCGGCTCAACATTGGTGTATGCACTCTGAAAAGTCCCTGTTTGAATGGAGATGGCCCAATGAGTAAAATTCACCACTTTGTTATGACCTTAGTCGGTTTTGGGTATATTCTTTCATTTGGACTCTTATACAAGTGATTTTGCCATTTTAAAAAATATTTTTGCTTGGTTTGGGTTTTCTAAAAACACTTTAAAGAAAATTCTACTTTCTTATTTTTCGTATTTTTTTTTGTTTTTATTGATTTTTTAAATATTTTAAGCAATTTTTTTAATTTTTAGGCACACTTAACATAAATACACTTAAAAAGTATAATTTTCGTGAAAAAAATCTTTAAAAAATTCACTAAATACCAAAAACACAAAAAAAAAAAACGAAAGTTCAGTATATTTTTTTATATTTTTGTGTATTTATTAATTTTTTGAAATATTTTATTTTTTAGATACATCTAAGTAAAGTGCATCTAAAAAAATATTAAAAAATGCTTAAAATTTTAAAAATATTTACTAAAAATAAAAAAAAAACAAAAAACTCAGTTTTCAAAAAACTGAATTCAGAAAACTGAAACCAAACAAACTGATTTATTTCTTTGTAACTTTTGCTATACTTTTTTTTTTATTATTATTTTTTTTTTTTGATATCTATAAAAGGTTATTTTCTTAATATAATATAAAATAACACTACATTATATAAGGATTTTATGGAACAATTTTTTTTTTTTTTCTGTCCTCAAAAGTAAAAAATTTGTAGTAAAAAATATTAAAAGATTATTTTTTGTTATTATGAGAATTATCATTAAAAGGTTGTTTCGAGAAGTTTAAAAAAAAAATTAAAATATCATTAATAAAAATATTTGATTTTTGAAAAACAATTGGCAAAGAGAATGGAGACTGGAGATTGGAGAGTTAAGGCAAGCATGTGCATGATGTGAATAGGGAAATACGGTGGAAAAATGAGGCGTGGGCAACTCATAATTAAATGCACAGGAAATGTGTATGAGAGAAAGGGGTTGCCAATCACATTTAATAATTTATCGGATTGAATACCGACACTTATATAGTAGGGCAAATTACACTTTGTTTTGTACCTTACAATAAATTTTATTTTGTTTAGGGCAAATTACATATACCCCTCGAGGTTTGACTAAATTACAAATACCCCTGAGGTTTGAGAAATTATAAATTTCCCCCTGAATGCTATATTTGCATAACAAATTAGGAGGTAATTTGTTATGAAATTTTAACCTCAGGGGGTAAATTGTTATGAAAATACAAACCTTAAGGAGCAGGTTGTAATTTCCAAAACCTCAAGGGATATCTGTAATTTAGCCAAACCTCAAGGGAGGTATATGTAATTTGCCCTTTTGTTTACATATAAGATTGTGAGAGTTAATCTTTTATATTTTTAGTCAAATTTCACTTTGATCTCTACATAAGTATTAATGTCCTTATTTTGTTGTTTTATTATTTAAATTTTTAACAGAATTTAGTGTGTAACAAGAATGTAATAAAAGAAAAATTATCTTTATTTCTTATCAATACATACTTTATCTTACGTGATAAGTACATGAGAGTTATATATATATATATATATATATATTCGTATATTGAAAATTGAGACCAACAGGCAAAACAAAATGAACTTTTGAAATAAAAAAAGGCAACAGAAAAATCACAAAAAAGAAAAAAAAAAGAAAAGAAATAAACAGAAGACTGTATTATTGTAGAAACAAACTTTTATGATGCAAAATTTTAATTCATCCTTTTAATCGTTTGCAGTCTGTATTTTGCTTTAGCCTAATATAATCATAATTTGGTATAAATTTTAGGACAAAATGTGTATTGGTAGAAAATGGGGATGATTTTTCTTTTTTACTCTCATTTCGTAATCATATTCTTATCATATGACTAGATTTTGTTAAATATTTAAACAATAAAATAACATAAGGAAAACATTCACACTTGTGTAGGAACTTAGGATTTGATCAAAAAAGTATAGGTGGCTAATTGCCATGATTTCATGTATAAGGATCAAAGTGAGATTTTTGACCAAAAGTGTAGGAGGTTAATTGTCATGATTTCATGTGCAAAGACAAAAATAAAATTTGATGAAAAGTGAAAGGGCGTAAAGTATAATTTACCGCATATAGGCCTTGTTTGGTGGAAGATTTCTTAAATTAAAAATTGATAATTATAAAGTAGAAGTTAAAAGCACATATTCCTTAATTTTCAAATAATAAGCATTTTTTTCAGCTTATTTACGTTATTTCTACCTAATAAGTTATAAGTAGAAATTACAGCAAACAACCTAGCACAAACTCTCAAATTAAAATAAGGTATAATTACCTCCTAAAGACTGTATCAAATAACCCCATAATGAGAGTATGTGTCATTTCAAATTTGACTCAACGAGACCCCAAACCTAATTTAGCTATTTTAAGCTCAACCTCAAAAGAATGCTTTAATCTTAAGCCTTAACTTAATGTATGCTGATCAATTATTTTTTTCTTCGTGTGAAAGGGCTATATGTACTTTTTTTATATTTTATTATTTTTTATTTATTTTGTAACTAAATAATATAAATATTTTATAAATATACAGGCCGGGTCAAGCCGGACAAAAACTTTTTATTTCAAACTCAATTCGAAAATTAAATGGATAGAAAATAGGAATGGCAAAGGGACGGGACGGGGCCGGGGATCACACTCCCCGTCCTCGATCCCTGATGGTGAAAATCTCCCCGTCCCTGACCCTGATCCCTGACGGGGACCCTATCACTGTCCTCACCCCCGCCCCTTAACGGGGATCGGGTTTCCCCGACCCCGCAAATTCCTCGGCCAAAAAAAAAAATTCAATTTCATCTCATCATCATCAACATCAACAAAAAAATTTAAGCTTTGGAAAAATTTTAAATAAAAAATTATATGTATATGTATTACGTTTAAAATCAGAAGAAATTTTAGAACCAACAAACTTCATCCCAACTATTGCTCATCATCATCATCATAATCATAGATCTGTAGAAAATTTAAAATCAGAACAAAAAAATTATGTTTCAACAATAAAAAATCTATTTCATCAACAATCATCCTCAACATCAACATTAACAACAACCAGTGTGTATATATATTACGTTGGAGAAGAGAGCCGAGCAACAGTTGTGGCTTGAGAACAAACGCGAAGAAGCCATGGCTAAGAGTTCGGAGATGAGATCGAAAACAAACACGAATGCCAGACTAGAAGATGATGGTGGTGCGATCATCGCAGCCGGCAGCAGCTAATCTGTTTCATCGCTGCTCATATAGCGATCTCGATTTTCCCTTCCGTTGTTTATTGTATTCCGGACTTGGTTCCGTGGTTATGATGTTGTTTTATTCTCATTTTCATCCTTTACTTTTTGTATTTGAGTCTTGGGTTGTGTTGGGCAGGTTTGAAACAGGTTGGTTGTGTTTAAAAATCAAAAGTTAATGCTCAGATTTTGGCCTTCACGCTCGAGCGGAGCCTTTGACACTTGAGCGGGCCCTTTGTTGTTGCTTATCCGCTCGAGCGAGCGTTTTGACGCTCGAGCGTGAATATTCATCTCCCAGTATTTTCTCTGCAGGTCATCGTACGCTCGAGTGGGCCCTTTCGATTTTGTTCCTCCACTCGAGCGGGGACCATGGTCTGCAAAACTTCTGGAAGTGTGCAATCGACGCTCGAGCGATGCTTTTTACGCTCGAGCGTGAGTCTGTGTCTGAAGCTCGAGCGGGGAGTTCCACGCTCGAGCGGGGCGACTTTTATATCAGTTCAAAAAGTGACATTTTGTATCACTCTTTGACTTTCTTTCTCTCTCCTACTTTTTCAAAACCTCCATTGGAGAGCACCTCACTCTAAAACTCCAACTTCTCTCTAGGGTTTGATCTAGTAGGAGTGATCTTCTATCCTTGGGCCTTTGTAAAAAGT